TTTAGAATTGATTAAAAATTTTGCAAAATCTCAATTTTATTAATACTTTTTACAAATTATTTTAAAACATATATAAATATATATATATATATAATTTAGGATAAACTGAATTTAGGTCATACTTATTCCAAGATATAGTTAATTATTATTTTTTTATCATAAAATTTTGCTTTTACAGAAATGAAAAAAACGAAACAATGAATGATCAGTTACATACTGTATAATTACTATTTGTTATTTCTCGTAACTAAAATATATTATATAGAATTATTCTTCATTTTTCATCCTTCTAATAATCATTTTTTTTTAAGAGATAAGTGCTCCGTTATTATTTGATAATGTAGACAAATTCCATTTTTTTAAATGCAAAAATATGTAGAACACGGATTAATGGCAAATTTTGCTGTCACCAAAATAAATCATTCACCTTGACGTATGAAACTTTCTCCAAAATTTATTCCAACATTCCGGATATTATTTTACATTAGCTTTGATCAGCTTGAATTATTACGAATATTGTAAAAGTTAATATTGATAATTTTTCTAATTTTTTTTTCCAGGATAAATGCTCTCATAAATATTTTAGGATTGAAAAATCGAAGTGATAGTTCGATTGTATTGAATTTTGTTGCGAATGCAGTGAAATTGTGGGAATCGGAATTTTCCGGTATATATTCATTATCACATAAGTTAGCCAAATTGTCGCAGCAGCAGCATCGTTCATGTTCACGGCATAATAAGCCGAATACATATTTTGAAAATCGTTGTATTACGTGCGTTACAGCAGTGGCACCACGTATACTACAAATTATTTTATTTACGCTACTTCAGCTAATTGGATTACCGGTGCTAGTTAGTATGTCTTTTTTTTATTACTGTTTTTAAATTTCATATAATTGAAAAAGTAAAAGTTACATAATCATTCTTCTTTTTTGGAATTGAAATTGAAATTCAAACTATACTTTTTTTCTAGCATCATATTTTAGTAACAAATTCAGCGTTTAATTTGATCATATTGATCATCCATTCAACTTCTTCTTTTGATAATTCAGTCTTAAAAATTTTTTTGAGATCAATTCTTAAATGAACTTCGAAAATTTAATGTGTTAAATTTTGGAACTTCATTTACTGAATTATCATTAATTCATTTACTTTACGAAACATTACTGAATTCATTTATTGAATGAATTAAATTTAGTAATGATTTAAACATTAAAGATATAATCTACTAAACAACTATATCAGCAAGTTATCCATAATGATTTAAATATTAAAAATATAGTCTACTAAACAATTATATCAGCAAGTTATCCGTAATTTCCTTGAATCTAAGCAAACAGATATCTCTGTAAAGAAAAAAGAAACTATGATTTGATGATAGAATTAAATTTTGATTAATTGTAAACTTTTCAATTCAGACAATTAATGAAACGGTGGGAACGATACACAGACATAGACACACGCACAGATACACATACATACACATATCTTTATATTATACCTTACTACAGCGAAGGTCATATTATCTATGTATCCGACAAATATCAGATAGTATGCATAGAAATCAATTCATTTTTGATTGATTCTAAAGAATATTTGCTATTGACAATAAAACTATTTGAAACAAATTAATATATTTGTTATTAAATAAAATTTGATTTAAGTAAACTTTAGGAAAATTTTCCCATCTTTCGATTATTATTATTTCCTTCTCACCACCAACTCTTCTTTTTTTCTTCAACCGTTTAAATTGAAATTAAATTTTTTCCGTTTTCATAAAGGTAAAGTTTGATTTTTAATTGAATTATTTATATAAACAAAAATGCAAATTTAATGAATTAATCAGAAAGTGATATAAAAAATTAAATTATATTAGAATACAGTCAAATTTTTCAACAAACTCGGAAAAATGGTATCATATCGATCAGAGAGAGTTGACCAAACTAATGCGTTGTTAACATATTCGATAAATGTAATTTAGTGTAAACAATTTGACTAAATAAGATATACATGATAATATCTTAACCTATAACCTCATAATATCAGAAGATGATCTGTGTCAAATTAATTTGATGCAAAAATTTGCATTTTATAATAAAATGATATGAGACCTAGCGGTAATTAATTCCCTTTTAATAATTACATTCAGTACTTATATCTCATTACTCATTCATTTATAGAATATTATTTGAGTGGCTTCGAATTGAAGTGCTATTTATTTATTATAAATCAAACAAAAATATTTCGGAACAATTTTGGCAAATTAAATTTAACATAATTAAATGAAAAACATAATCCTTTTCCTGCACTGTGTTAAATTTTTAAAGTTAAATAATTTAGACAAATTTAATTTAAAAATTTTAAACTATTGAAATTGCTTAATTTTAATATTATTTAGAGGAAAAATAATAACAATAAGATTGATTTATAATTTTAATTTATCTCTCTTTTATTGTTTACATATAAATTTATAGTATTTGAAAACAAAAATATAAGTAAAGGAAAAAATATTTTACTATATGTGTATAGTAAATTTTTCATAAATTACAATAAAAATTGAAACTTTTAATTTTTCTTTAAAATTTTTTTTTTAATTAATAAATAATATTTTTGATAAATTGAAATTTTTCAAAATTTTAAATAATATAATAATAAAAATTTTGATTTGTTTTTTTCATTAAAGAAAAATTTCATTTTTCATTTTTTTCTTCTTCATTATAATTATTAATTTTGTTTAATTGTAATTATTAACTATTATCAATCATAACTATTATTTTTGTTTAATTGAGGAAAAAAGGTAAGTATGTGAATTTTAATTTAATTTTGATTAATTAAACTTTATAAATTAAAATGAGGCGAATTTAATAATTAAACTTTATAAAATTAAAATAAGACAAATTTGATAATAAAATTTAAAAAATTAAAATTAGGCAAATTTGTTAATAAAATTTTCTAAAATTAAAATAAGACAAATTTGATAATTAAATTTTATCAAACTAAAATAAGACAAATTTGATAATTAAATTTTATAAAATTAGAATGAGGCGAATTTGATAATTAAATTTTCTGAAATTAAGATAAGACAAATTTGATAATTAAATTTTATCAAATTAAAATAAGCCGAATTTGAAGAGAATGAATTTTTATTATACAAAAAGGTAAAGCAATGCAGATGTTTTGAAAAATAATATCAATCTTAGAAATTATGCGGAAATGTATACATTTTCTACAACATTGTTGATGCCTTTTAGCAGATGTTTCGTATTTTTTGCAAAAGAAAAGATTGAATGAATTTTTTTAAGAATTATATTTTTTAAAAGCTAAATGAAATATTATCTTATTATCATAAATTATCTCACAAAATTAATAAATAAATCTTAATTAAAGAGAGAGAGAGAGAGAGAGAGAAAAAGTGAGATAGAAAGAAAAAATGATAATAATTTTTGATAAGTTTCAAAGAGTTTTTGAAATTTCTTTTTTCATAGATGGCTGCTCAACTCGTTCACGATACGATCAGAAGAAATTAATAACAAATCGATTTGTTGAACTTAATAATTGTACGGAAATTTATTGGGGTTATTGCCGAAACGGTGGCGTTTGTAAGATGACAATTGATATTTCACAACGATCTATACCAGTTTGCTCGTGAGTAGTTTCGGAAAATTTTCAGGAATATCATTAGCAATAAAAAAAAAAGTTTTCAGGATTTAAAAAAAAAAACCGGAATGAAAAGTAATTCGATTTCGTGAGAATTTTAAATTTCATAATTTTCTCTCTTTTTTCTTTCGGTTAAAATCAAATTTGCTTTTTTGTTTTTGTTAGCTGTCCAACAGGATTTCATGGTCGACAATGTGAACTAATCAACGATCCTAATATTTACTTTTCGCGACAACAAGGTCAAATGGAAATGGCTGCTATGTCGGGTTCTATGATTGCACTTATATTTATAATTTTGTTTCTATCATTTACGTTATACGTCTATAAAAGGTAAAGTTTTCGTTTTATAACATTTGTAAATATTAGTTTGTCATTTGAAACTTTTAAATGAATACCAAATTTAAAGTTTTGCAATTTCAAATGTTAGAATAATTATTGGCAATATTTGATTTTCATCATATTTAAAATTTCACTTTTTTATCAATGATAAATTATGCCTTAGTTAATGATATAACTAACAAATACGGTATAGTTAAAAGTATTATGTTAGGATATGCAATTGAAATTGAATAAATTTAAAAGTGGTAAATTTTTTATTTCGTAAACTCTCTAAAATTATTTCTTCTAAGAAAAATTGATAACAAAAATTTTCGTTTTTCATTTAATTCAGATGTATGAAATATGGTATAGAGGGAAATAATTCATCATCAGCATTTGATACCTTCGAACTTTCATCTCCGACAAACGAGCAGAAACAAGATTCCGATACAGTTATAAACGAGCTTGAGGTTAATTTAGTTTTAAAATCTATAATTAGATTAATAATATTTTCTTCTTTTCCATCATTACCTTTTTCTTCTCGTTAACATACTAATTTTTTAAATTTCACGAATTTTTAAAACTTCGTGAAATTTAAAATTCAGCAAAGTATTATCATTTCTTTTTATATGATTGGAGGTATGTTTATCATCTAAATGAAACTCTCAATCCTAATCGTTATCAATTTATTCATTCAACATTGAATGGATTTATCGATAAATTCGAATTTAAAATCTTTGAAGATATATTGATATTGCACAAGGAATCTTTAATAATTATCATGAATCTTTCAAAGGAAATATTAGTGCAATTTTATAAATGATATAATTTATTTACTTTTATTGTTATTTGTTTAAAAAATAAATAAATAAATACTTTTGAAACATTTACAGAAAAACGAAATAATGGGAACACGAGCGAAACATCTACAATTGGGTAAGAAAGTAAATCATTCATCGAATGTTTTTGAAATGTTCACATTAACCGGATATCCAGATCCGGAATATTCTCAGCATCAAAATTTATTCAGTAAAGCGACAAAAAATCGAAATATGCCAAGAAGAGCAAGAAATTGTAGTAGCAATATTATTTTACCGGAAATATGAAAATAACAACAAAGAAACAAACAGAAATTATCAATAACATGAAATGCCAATATTTAAAACATTAAGTATTTAAATGCTTTAAATTAATTGAAATTATATTTTTAAGAGGATATGTTATTTTATTACAAAATTTAATATTCAAAAGTAGGAATATCGATTAAAATTAAAATTAAATTTAAACTGTTAAAATTTTTATCATAACATAATGCAATTAATTTAAAACTTTCCATGCAACGGACAACGATTAGCTAATATGCTTATTATCATTTCCAACGATCATTGATGCATTAATTTATGTAGTTAAATAATTTTAATGCATATTTGATTGCAAAATTAATCATTATCATTGTATATTAAGCTTTCGTTAGTTCAAAATAGACGGGTATTATTTGCATGGATACTCTCATTTATTTATATCAAAGGTAATTTCATCAATACTTGATGAATATATGTTAAAAATGATAATTATTCAAATTTCATATCGCAGGTGTAATACTTGCCTAATTAATATTTGATCAATTTATTGCTTCATTTCATTTCAGTGTTATTCTGCTGTTTGCTAATATAATGAAATGCTTCATATAATTGCTGCATGAAATTTTTTTTGTTTTTTTGCAATTTATTTACTTAAATTAATTAAGTCTATACTTATACATCATATCATATCATATCATATCACAATATCTGCTTGTCTACAGATTATTAATTTCGATAATTGTAATATATGATAGTGCAAATTATTGTACTAGTGAGATGCTAATCGTTTCATATTTCAAAAATTACTGATAAATGTATCTCTCAAAATTGTAAATGGTTTGAAATTAACAACCATATGTATTAAATATGCAACAAATTCTGAATTTTTATGCAAATATGATGAAATATCTGAGAATTAGTAAATTGAATTAGTTATAATGATTAGAATTTTTCTTTGTATAATGAATAAATTTTGTGTCGAAAAATTCAAAACTAGCAATATCATTTGAAAAACAAAGGAATGGAAATGTTGAAATGATTCATTTGAAATTAACGCTTTTGAAAAATTCTTTCGCTAATAATATGAAATGATTTTTGATAAGATTGCTTTTTTGCAACATTTTTTGAATAACAAAGATCGCCTCCTACCTTTTGATTTCTTTTTAATATGATCACTAAATTCAACATTCAAAGAAATTTGGAAGAAAGCGAAAATGGAAACGGTTGAAGGAAACGGCTGAAAATCAGCGAAACACTAATACTAATATAATAGATAAAGTTGGTAATACACCGATATGATTAGTTTTATTATAATATATTCATTTTTCATTCTCTTTCAAGTAAACTATGAAACTTTCAGTTTTAATTTATTTTTTCAATTGATTTTAATTTTTCTTCGTACTCTTTTTTTATTGCATACGAAATGTTCAATTCATTTTCACTTTTTCATTTCAAAAAAATTTGCAAACTATCGTCTCTGTAAAATGCAAAAATAATATAAGTGGAAATATTTCAAGATATATTTAGTCACTTCAAATTTTGTCAAATTTAAATAATGGATAAGAAGACGACGAAGAAACGATTCAATGATAAGTTAGAAATGATCTGATAATACAATACTTAACAAATACTGTACTATGGTTATTATAAAATACGAAAAATTGACTTCACTGAACAACTGATACAATATCGGGCAAAAATTTCGTTTCCTTCAATTTTATATTTAGTCAATTGAAATAATCAAAAATTGCACCATTTAGATTTTTTAAATAAATTTCTAATCTAATTTAAATAAATTCCAATCATTAATTTATTCATTTTTGTCTTCAACAATTATTTAAATCATAATTTTATACATTACCAATTATATTTCTTCCTGATTATTCACATTTTTGTCTAAATATTTCGGCAAGATTAAGTAGGATCAACTATAACAGTAATGGATAGAATCATGTACGGATTTTGTATAATAATTCATTATCAGATTTGATAATATCACCATTGATGTGTCTTGGACAACGACAACAATGTCTATCACTCCATTTAATCTACCCGCTAGTTTCCGATTTACGATTCAGATCATCTGGCTTCTACCGGCATGAGATGTGACAATATCTTCAAGGTTTCCATCAAGTTTCGGAAACATATCCTTGGATATTCTTCAGCACCACTCGATCTTTACCATTTACACATGGCATCGTGTCCACGAACTTCGTCACTGGACCGCGACCATACACACCTGACTTTCTTGAGAATAACAATGTCATGATTTTTCAATTTGCATTGTACTACATATCAAAATAATGTTAAATACTTCGCTTTCGCACAACGCTTTGATATCCGACATAGACCCAATACGGAAATCATATGGAAATTCGTGGATCTCAATCTTTTGGTTGTTACGGTTTTTTTTCATTAGAGAAGGGCAGAAGGCCTGTATTTCTAGAGGTGAAGGGTCAGTAGAATAAAGTCCTGTTAGGATGAACCGAGATTTGGAGGAGTAATAAGGGTTGTGATGAGATGAATGGGTGATTTAATTAGTAAAAAGGCCTGTGAATAGGCGCATTTTGCAACCAGAACTATAATTCAAAATAGAGTTGACGTCATGATTAGCAACGGCAATGACTAGCATGATTTCTAGAGTTGTGGCATAGCTGTTATAATCAGTAATGCGTGAGACCACTGATGCTCTTCATAGTATCTTATCATTTTATTAACATCAAATTTTGGAAGCACGTTCAATTGATAGTATGATGGGCCTTTTCTTTCTCTTTGTTTTGCAATCGATGTCCACATCCAGATTGTTGAACCCTAATTTTACTAAGTTTAGATAATTAAAAAATTATCGATTATGTATCCGGATCTTTCATCGAGTACTGAACATTTCTGCTGTATTTTTGGGTATACGCCGTCTTCGAAACATAATTATTATATCCGTTGCTTAAGGGTAAACTTTATTTTCTTATCCATCGTGCGTTTTTCTGAAAAGTAGAGCAGTGATAGAAGTGTCGTCTTTTTTAGGCATAATTCGAGAAACCTGTGGATTATGTGAATTTTAAAATCGTCTTTGTTCAGGTTTGTCACGTTTTGAAATTTGTTTTAACAGTTTTATGAAGATCAAAAGTTACTGTCATGACTGTAGCATCTTATCTTGTTATTGAGATACCATAAAAATGAAATATATTCAATTCAGATTTACGACCAGTTTCTATTTAATAGATAGGCTTTCCCGGAAAAATGTTCAAAAATGCTTTTTCATGTTCAGCAAACATTCTGCAAAAGTAGTTTCAAGATTTCATCCTGAATCCGAGGGAAATTTCACCTCTTTAAAAGTAGTAAAATATCATGATGAAAAAAAATCTTTTGTCTGTTCCACTACAGTCCTTTATTTCTGGTAAGATTTGAGTTTGTTAGTGACTTTGTGATTGAATTATTTTATTCCGTATTTAACAGTAATATCGTTTGTAGCAAGCAATGGCACTTCTCGATTTGGATAATATAGCCCCACGTTTGGAAGGGAATTCAATGATATCGATACCGCATTACAAAATTAAGGATGGTAAATACGCGGTAAATATATGATTTCTGTCGGGAAAAAAAGTGTTAATTAAAGTTGTCATTATCCAAGAAAAACAGTGGTCTAATTTTAGACAGATATTTTGGTCCGAAAAATTGAGATGAGAAGTCCTACATCAAAATTTTCTACATTTTTCATTGTAGTTGATGAAAGTTCAGTTTTACGCTGAAACTTCCAAATTTTTACGATTATTAAATGTTATGAAGCCTTAAAATGCCAGTCTTTTCTCAAAAAGATTACTAATATAAATCAGCACTTGCTCCTAAATTTTATACATGTAGAAAAATTCTGTCATGCAGCTTTGTAGGTATACGTTATTAAAGTGGCGATCGATTCAACCATCTGGACTATAGAAAGGCGTTATAGCGATTTCGTAGCATTTGATTTGCAACGATTTGAAGATCGCAAGAAGTCCTTTCTTCCACCAAAAAAATTAATTCGAAATTTGGTGAGATTTTCTCATCATTTTGATTCTCCTTCATATTAATACTTAATATAAATAATGCTTTACGTGTATAGCATTATTTATATTAAGTAACACTCACTTTTAAGTACATATTTTTATGTACTAATTTCATCCTTATTTTTGAATTGCTTGAGATGCAGTCCTGATTTTCAAAACGAAATTACCAAATAGTTTATGAGGTTTATTTATGAGGTTTATGAGTTTATGAGGTTATAACATCAACAACATTTTTACTGAATGCTTGCATTAAATTGTCCACTACAAAAGACAGGATGTTCAATTTTTCTAGGACTTGGAATTTCTGGATGAAAGAAGGATTGAACTCGAGAAATATATCCGAACGGTGGTTGAACTTGATCTGTGGTTGCAGAGAAGACGGAAGCAATATGCGCTTCCATCTCTGGTTGCTCATTTCCTCGATTTTCACGAATATGTTAGTCGTAACTTCTAAGATTTAAATTTAATAATTTTGTTCAAAATAGGTCGGTGTGTATAAGCTGCAGGACTCTTTCTTCAGGACATCGGATGAAAGAAATGTGCGAATTATGATATGTGTACATGAGCCTGCTGAGGGTTTTGAAGGTGGATACAGATGGCGTAATGAAGTACTGTGAATTGGAACGTGGGTTTGAAAAGGTCGGAGTTGTTTTAAGCGTTAAGGTTGCTGCATAATGAAGGTTTCGGCGGGTGATGGATCTAGTCATCATTTTGATATTACCACCTCCAGTAGATGAAGATCTCGAATGAGCTGGTGGTCCGATACTTTTTTATAGTTGAGGTTTGTTGAGATATTTTTCTAGACTAGTATGCGGAGAATTTGATAACTAGTGCAAAAGGCGATATTTACTTCAGTGCTTTATCTGTACATTTCATGGAAGAGACGAAGTTGTATATAGCGGTAAAAATAACAGTGCTGGTATTAGTAGTGCACGTGTTGGCAGTAAAAAGTAAGCAGTGATGTAAATTTGATGCTTTAATTGCCGAGTCGTTCATTTTGTGCTTTTTCGAGCTATTTCTAATTAATAACGAAAACAATAATACTGTATTCTGACTTTTATTATGATCTAAGCTGTTCAGGATTTTTCTTAGACTTTTTTTAAGACATTATATATAGATAGATAAATAGGGAATAAAAATTGTCGCAATATTTAATTTTTATCATATTGATCCTGAATAGCTTTTATTAGCAGGCATGATCAAGGAATAAAAATGGTTGAGGTTGGGAAACAAAATCTTTCAGTTATCATCATTAGTTGCACCAGGGGCAGTCAGCTCTCCCCGAGAACCACTAATATGCTTCTTATGTCGCCAGTATTGCAAACGAGTCCATACATCCCTGATCGCTAAGTAAATCATTGTAACGTTCTTCATCATCAGAATACTTGCATCATAGTGTTTTCCATCTTTTAATATCTCGAGTAACACGTAAAGATAGATGCGGATTCCAAGATATGGTACGTTTACCTGTAAATGTGGAGGTTCTTCAGAAGTCTCAGTGTTTTTCTTAATTTTATTCAAGTCAAGAACTGCTTGCTTTTTATGTTTTATAAATTCTTAGTAAAATTAAATTCACATTAAACTAGAAAATTTTCAAAAAAACTTTACCATTAAGACATAGATGAGGGACCAGATCTTTTCGCTGACAAGTGCAAAACGTGGAAGACGGCGTCCGAAACTTAAGCGTATCAACGTGAAAACCGGCAAAATCAAATTGACGCAGACCAGTATGAGAATAGTTATATCAAGCCATAACGGCAGGTCCCAGCTGTTTTTCTAAATCGTTTGGAATTAAGTAAATACCAATGTAGTGTGGGTTGATCAGCCTATCATATTAATTGACATGTTTCTTATAGTTTTTTCGGTAAGATACTTTAATTTTGTTGGTTCATATAATTGAAGAAAGGGCAAGTCAGCTTTAGGAAACATAAAGAACTTACGAAAGATTGCCAGAGCAAGTCGAGGAAGCAAATGGTGTCAATAAGGTCGAAAGTTACGGCAGTCATAAGGTAAATCAGGTATAACTGTCGGTTACTATTGACTGTTGTGTAATGATGCGACTCAAGCAAAAGTATGAAAATGGGCGCACTAAGTGATAAACCCAAACGGAATAGATGATCATCCAAGATTTTGTCATGTGAATCAGTTTTCGTTGGTGGCAACTGAAATATAGATTGCTAAATAGATAAAGAATCGACTGGGGGTGGTTAAATTAGATTTTATAGATCTAAACTATCAGTTTTAGTCAAATTAACAGTAACTATATACCTGAGTATAGAAAAGACGGAAGCAAACGGCCACCTTTCCAGCTAGGACAGTTGAATACAAAAACCATCCAATCCATGTGTATTTGACTTTAGCATCTGTAGTACATTTTCAATTAAACGTTCTACTCGTCCTTCTATTAGTAATTCATATTAAAGATCGTATTAAGTACTGCACTGATACTGACTGAGTGAAACTAAAGTTTTCTGTACCTGTAGAGCAAGCGTCTTCCATATGTTGTTGATTGTTTCGTACCACTACAACAAGGAGCCATATGAGAATAACAATGACGAATGAATCGGCTCCTATCCAACTATACCAGATATTGTCCTTCAGAACAGTTAAGTAATAAAAGTCTAGAAGGCCAAATTGTAAAATTATAAGTGCCAAACACAGAATGAAGAGGAAGACGTCAATGCAGCCACGTAAATAACGATCTGCAAGTACCAATAGTTTTTTCACATCATCAAAATTTTTTTTCTCTTATTAGATCTTCAAAAAATACTCTCGGTTGTTGATATATTCTTTTTATTATGAAGCTGTAATTTTTAGTGGATAATTTCAAGGATATGTCAAGATAAAGCTTTAAATCAAGGTCAGTAATATTGATTGATAAGTTCGTTAATACTGTAGTTCACCATACGAATTTAAAATACAGCGCTATTCAATTTTTGGAATTCATTAATACAGAGAATTTTGGAATCTGCATGCTTTTTATTCATGAAGTTTACATTTTTGTTGTCAGAGGAATAGTGGTTTTACCATAGTACCATAGTAATAATCGAAATGTTGATAAGATTGAACCATAATATTTAGTTCAAAGATTAGAAAATGCCTCGTCTTCGATATGGACCATTATTTATAATTGTATAAAATTCACTCATTGTATTTTGATGCAATGAATAATTGGCAGAATAATTTTCCAACTTACTTGGTGTGACACTCATCGTCGGTGATGTTGTTGGAGAAGAAACAAATTGTGTATTTCTACTGTTAGAAGTGAATTTTTCTGGAAGAAAAGTTTCTTCCAATATGCCTGAATAGAATGATTCGTGAGGAATGCGCTCTTCCTCGTTCTCCTCGATGGCCTCTTCAGCGGCCTGGCGCTCCTCCGAAATACTTTGATTTTCTACAAATCCTGAAATATTCTCGTTGATCAGAAACCAGAGATTGGACGATAAAAAGAGATGAACGTTGTTTGTCAAAAATGAGTAATAAGTTTTCATGTCGAAAAGAAGGAAAGGGTGGTAAATATTCCCCATTATTCTTTAGGATAATTTTGGTAAACAAGGTTCATAAGTGGTACATATTAAGGAGCTTAAAGATCGGAGGATTTATTTAAAGTGCTTGTTAAGCTATGTATGATGAGATAGAGATGTGGAAATTGGCATGAAATGTTTGAAAGTGATTTTTATACGACCTGAATTTGCCATAATTTGTTTCCATGTTCATGCCAGGATTTCTTTTTCATTTTCGATAAAAATAGTGCATGAGAAAAAACTTTAGCTGTTATAAAAAGGTGAAAGATAATCGTTATAATAGGGGAAATTAGTGCTGCATGACGGTCCTCCAAGGATTTATGAGAATTTTTGTTTTTTCTCGCTCTTATGTTAATCAAAAAAGTAATAATTAATTAGCACTTGAAAAGTTGAATAATTTCAGATCGCTGGGGAAAAAAATTTTTACCGTATTAAATTGTTATAAGCTGAATAAATATTTACTACAATTTATAGGCATATGCAAGAACGAGAGTGTCAAGTTGTATCCGATGTCATTTCCCAAAGGCAAAAAGTTTAGATTATGTGGACTTTTCCATTTTCCAGGGTAAAAATCTCACAGACACGAAGGATATAAAACCAACTGTGTGTGTGACACAGGGATCACGCAATTTAAATGCTTAATTAGGACGCAAAGGGGAGTTTAGTGCTAGTTTATTTCTTTGTTTAAAAATTATGATTTAAGCTAGAAATTCGATATTTTAAATAACTTTGAACAGGATAATCAGGAATAACCTGCCAATTTCTAGATTTAAAGTATCATCGAAAGTGATATACAAATATAAAAGGTGTGCGTGGTAGCTGACGGGATCGATTAATTCTATTCATGGTCATAGAAAGAGTTGTATTGTGAGAAATAGATCTAAGCTTAGTTACAACATATGTGTAATTTAATAGAAAATGGAACAGAAAGAGAATATCGGGGATTAGCCAGGCCTTCCAGGCGTCAGCTGTGTATTATTGTCCATTAGAAGCGGTGTAGATTAAATAAAGCACACACTATTTCTGGCATACTCTAAACATAAGTTCTAAGAAAGAGTAGCGGTGCAATAATTTTAAGGGAAGACTCATCGAAAACCTAAAAATCCATTCACCATAAGTGTAAGATGGTCTTGCATTGGCATAAATAGTGTATTGACAAGCAAACTATATGTAATCATTACCGCCGAAATGAGCGTTATTTGCTCAAATTTCAAACGGCTAGTGTTCTTGAAGCGATTTTCTTTCCCATTATAATTTTTTGGGGAAGGAAGGAGAATGCAATTAAAATGTAATGTGTGAAAATAGCTACAGTTTGCAAAATTGGAAAATCAAAGTATTAGTGAAAATTTAACCGAAACTCAAAGGTTAAAGAGTTTTATCAAAAAATAACCGAAGAAGTATCTATTAGTCCTCGTTTCATTTTATAATTTTTATATCTAATCTTTCCAGCAGATATCACAGTTTTACGTTAGCAGCTAATGCAAGAACAGTAATGCAGGCCTTCTAATATCTCTGATTGAAGTTCCTAATGAGTATCGGCAGTTTTGACAGTTGTCAAAGAAAGTTGAAAAAGAGGCTAATTTAAATTCATATGGGAACTATGATAGATTTTATGGTACTAGCAAACAGTTGATTAAATGAATCAAAATCTGAAATTTAAATATGAACTGAATTGAAATTATAGTTTAAAATAATATCGCTACAACACTATACGATTTACTAGTTACTGGTGAAGACATAAAGAGAGCAGAGCTTATATTGGGAGATTAACATGTAGTTAATGAGGCAGTGTTGAGCACCACCACGGTAAACATCCACAAACATTTGTTTGCTTGTCTACTTGAAAGGAATATTATTTCTTCGGCATCCTGTTTTATATATATATGTGTGTGTGTTTGTGTGTATGTGTATGTATGTGTTGTGTTGTGTTGTGTACGTATCTATCTCTCTATGTTTATTTACATATAAAACCCACTCAGAATCAATTTATGGTTGTAAGACGACATTGTAGTTCATAAAATTTACCAGTACAAAAGCTCTGCTAAGTTTCATCCCTATCTCAATTGTATAACACAACATGTTCAAACTGACTGTTGCGTTTATTTTTTATTTTGCATTTACAAATTATAAATCCATTTTCATCTATCCGTTATGTAGGTCTACTGTAATTAATGCTTGCATAATTATTTTACAGCTGATTATAAAATGAAGATTTGGTGTTTCACAGCATGACTGATTGTCAGATGTATGAGGAAGTAATGATTAGATTGGATGTGTCGAAAATTTCTCCAGTCTGCTAATTCTTGCGGCTGATAAGTTGAGAATTCCTAGGTTTTCTGGGCATATAGGTGGATAGCTTGAGAGTATTACTCAAACATATCTCAAGTTATAGATAAAATAAAGCCAAAAATTCAATCATGTATACTCCTGTTAGTCAGTCATAGTTGCAATTGTTATGCAGATTACAAAGACGTCGTCATAGAACAAACCGTACAAGTAAGAAAGAATTGTGATTATTTCATTGTTTATTAACTGAGTGACAAATATATAACTTTTCTAAGCTTACGTCCTGCAAATAGTGAATGGTAAAACTGGAAATTATATATATATATAAATAAAATAATTTACATGTATCATTGTGGTCCGTGGAGTCGATGCTATCCAACTCCGAGAAGCGTGGCGCGTAAGTGAAGAGGAGACTAGAAGCTATGAAGGGTTGTTATGGTGTAGTAAGGCGAGTGATCGAGGTGAGATAAGTTGGCCGGTATGGAGGAGATTCTCGAGAAAAGATGAGAGAGGTTATGGAAAACGAGATCCGTCTCTTTGCCCCTCTGTCTTTGTTCTCACCAACACCATGTGTGCCTCCAAGCGGTATGTCCGTGACGACATTGTGGGTCGTGTATATATCAGTAAGTGCTTTTAATATGTGACAAACATTTTACCCCGTATTATACGATAAATTACTAATGTGAATGAACAAGCGAGGTTGTCGATATGTGTTGTGTGTGTGGGTGTGATGTGTGTGTATGTTTATATGTGTCTGTGGCAGATCTTACTGTGTGACCATCACCGTTTGACGTCTATTCAAGGCACACTAGGTTGTTTACGAATTGAAATGATGTCTGGACTTCCAACCACCGGTCATTTGTTCATATCTATCCGCTCAACTTCAATTCGCATGAATGGATGATGATGGATATTTGAGTAGCTTGATGATGGGCACTCTTCAAACCGGCCATCATTCAATGCCATCATTAGTTGGCTCTTACCTTTACCATCATAGTTATAGATGCTCATATGGACGATGAGATGAAACCTATTTTAAAATCAATTCAACTTTGTTGTAAATGTGAATTTAAGATGTAGGTTGATGAGAACTATGAATTTTAAATTAATGGATTTCTGGATGAGTCATTATGAGAAATATCTCTTGATGTTGTTGCTATAATCTAAATTATATCAAATCATGCTTTATTCAAGTTGAAAAATATTAAAACGACACAGCCACTAATGGCAGATCCTGGAAAGGAAATTTAACCTGATTTTTTCATGCAAAATTGCTGAAGAATGAAATACAAAACGAATTAACTATTCATCGATACGTATAAAATGTGAAGTGAACGAATAATTAAGTGAAAAGTAATTTAGGAGTGCAATGAAAGAAAACAAATGAGAATAAAGGAAATTTTACACCTTAAATTTTAACAAAAAAGTTGGAAGAATTCCTTTTGGGTAGAGATTGGATTTTTAAAGAGAAAGCAAAATGAATGAATGCTCTCAAATGGTCTGGAATATATTTACTGTAATAAATCAGTACAATGATAGCGGATGATGATAGAGAGGTAATTTTAGACTAGAAAACTCTTTTAAAACTGCAGTATTAATTTGAGACAACTATTCTTTTAATAATTAATGAATGAAAATGAAATAAAATTATGAAGTGCTACTACCTCTGCGCATCAGTGATTTACAAACAAAAAAAATCAAGGGTCCGTCGGGTCTGACTTGAGTTTTTGTTTAGAAGTCACTTTAAAAAAATGAAAGTTTTTTTCTTGGTCTTTAAAGAGGATAATCTCTAGTGTTACAGCTAGTCCTATTATCTTCCCACTCTCCTCTTTACCATGATTTGACAGCAATATCTCCTAATTTTCCTATTATTTTACCGGACAAGAATAGGGATATTCGTTACGAATAAACATAAATTATATTCGAACAAAAGAAGAAACGAGTAGTGTGTATTAAAAACTTCGATTAAGAAGTTCGTTTATCTATAAATATTTGGATGGAAGGGATCGAAATAATTCAATCTGCATAAGATGAGATGCATCCATGCATAAACATATTTATCCAACATTTCGATGCAATTTCAGGCTTCCCTTTTAGCATTTAATCAAATTCTATGTAATTGATGAAAGAATGGATTGGTTTGTATAACTCTTTGCAGAAGTGAAGGAGAGAGAGAAAAAGGGAGAGATGAACACATATAAGTTATTCCTGAACAATACGTAACATTTCTGCTAATAAAATAGCGAGGTAGACAGTACATAAGTCTCGGTCAGTATATTAAAGGCATCAAATTTCAAGAATTTTTCATAAGATTTAATGATTTTAAGGATTGATTACATAAGTTTGAATTCGAGTAGACATAATTTCGGGCCGCTGTTGTTGCACGATTTGCGAATCAAACAGGAGTGAAATTAAACTATGATAATGCGTGTCTATTTGTTTTGCACAGTGATATGATAAGCGGAACAAAATTGTAGTTGTAAGATAAAGGGGAACGTTCGTGTTATTTGCAAATTTTTATATTACTACAAATTCCGAGTAATTCTAGATATGACTTAGCTACTCATAAATTTTTTATAATTCTGATTTTAAATTTAAAACAATATTACATGCATACCTCCATCAATATTAAGCGTCACAATAGCAGGTGGTTTCGTTATGGTCATTCAATCGGCCGTAGAAGTTTTATTGATCCCGTTGGGGGATGAGCGCTATGACAATGGTAGCGGAGCTGGTAGTAGCAGCAGCCGTAGTAGTAACAGTAGTAGGAGGAGTAAGAGTACTTATAGAACTAGTATTGATATAATAGTGAATTTGGGGTTTGACGAAGAAGCATAGAGAGCCTTGCTTGGTTTGTTAGAATCAGTATAGTCAGAGTTCGAAATATTAGAACAGAATGATATGGAAGTGTGAAGAAGTGGAGATGGGGATATAGGGAGGGAAAAGAAGAGGTGGAGACAAGCCTCATGCCTTATATTCCCCACAAGTTTATAATTAATTACTGCAGTTGCATATATGGTATATATATATATATAAAGTTCAAAAAAAGCGAAACTTGGGTGAAACTTGAACCTTATGAAGCAAACTTAGAAGGTAGTGGGAGTAACACTTTTATTACTTCAGTGACAACAACTCTGTCATTCGAATCAAAAAATTCTGGGTTATGAGCTGTTAGCAACACAGTGGCATTGTATAATAGAATTTAAAGGAACCGCCTGAAGTGGCTAAAGCTTTTATGTTAACTTTAATTGCAATTACTATATCATCATCATTATTCTTATGCTAAGAGACACACACTGGAATGGATTAAAGAATTAGGTTATATTATTGTAGTATATTTGATTGATGATAGTTGTTTTCTGGAACTTATGACGTTTTCATGTTCAGTTTTAATAGCACTTTAGAGACTAATAGTATAGAAGGAAAAGGATAGTAGAAAAATATTCAGAGAAAAACCATTAGGTAATCCATAAGACTAAAATATCCTACTTGCTATTTTTTGTTCTTTCCCTTCGCATCTCTTATTATGTTCATCTCTCCCCTCACTCATTAAACTTGAAACTGTGTAATTCATGTTATATATCTCTAAGCATCAAAGTGCTTGTAGTCTGGGTAGTTTGTCTTCGGGATACTTAATCCTAATGGAGAAGTGTTTTCAGTAATATCTGAAAATTTGATTGCAACTCAACTCTGTTAGCATTTGAGAAGCCGAATCTTGGTATAGCATTTATACCAAACAAGTCATCTGGGATTACTTGCTGGGAAGAAATTCGCAGTTTGATAAAAATAACGGCAACTAGTTTAGCTAATTGCTATTCATTGTTATGAAAAGCAACATTCCCCAACAATCAGCTGTTTTAATTTTATCGATTCTCGCTGATTTCTTTCTGAAAACAGTTGCCGGAACGAACTTAATAGCTTTTCAATTTTTGAATGAGTTTTGTATGAATTTGGAATGAATCCGCACTGACTAATAATTTACTGTAAATACATATGATTGAAAAAGTGGAGGAAGTATTGGCGGAAGAAAAAATTGTCTGAATGTAGTAGTGATTGTTGAATGGATGCATTACATGTGCTGCTGTCACTGGGCATTAAGTGTATGTCAAAATATACTATGTCATTGAATATTAAGTTTTCATTTGCATGTCAAAATGTAAAGAGATGAAACTTGCGTTTGTGAATCGCGAATCAGAGAATTCAGAGTGGTTACTAATAACTGGAGAAATCGGGATGTTATATTTTTTTTATAGAGGAAATTGCTATAACATTAGATTGGTTGGCGAGATTTGTTGGAATTATAATTCGAGATTTTTTTATCTTCGTTATGTAATGAAAAGGGCGGAAAGAAATAATTTCAGTAATCAGTATTTCAAACAGCTAGTGCATTATGACAGATGAAGTAGTGGTTCACCATCATTTTTTTTTTCAAATATTTATGACGATAAAAATTTGATTTTCTTTAAAAAAAATTTCTTTAGAAACGTGTAACAAATTTTTTGCCAATATGAAATATGTTTTATGGTGGAAGATTCAAAAGACTGGAGAAATTGAAAAGGTTTACTGAATAAGGGGAGTAAGCTGCAGAGAAAAGAAAAATGAAAAAAAGGCCTTAGGAAATTTTAAGGATTTATTAATATTGAACTTTTCCCAAAAAAGGAAGCCTTTTTTTCGAAATATCTATGTAGTGCTGGGAGAAGATGTTCTCCATTTTCTCTGCATTTGCTCTTGATTTGTTCCTTTCATTGAATGATATTGCCAATGCTAACCCTTGTCATTAATCAAATTGATGGTTTAATACGAAGATTTGTATGATGCATCTCTCCGTCACATTTTTTGCATTTGAAGCCAAATGGTGATCAGTTTCAAATTTAAATCTCCCGAAGGGCTTCCTTGTTTGTTCATTCAAAGTATTCTCAAAATTTTCACTGTACTGGAATAAATTTTCTTAAAAATAGTCCGAAAGAATATCAACTGAATTTCAAAATCGTGTTCGAACTGATATGCACCAGTAAATTTGAAGTACCTGTACTGAATGATTTTTTAAATTGCTGTCACTAGATGATACAAAGATTGTTTATCGTTGAGGAATGTCTTTTCAGGAAGTACATGCAATTGTTGAGGATCTTTCCCTGAAACTTGGAACATCTGGTGAAAAATGGTTACAGTCAGCAACAAAAAAGCCGAAATATTTCGAGTTTACACCGGTCGAGCTCTATGCCATCACAGAAAGGATGAAATTGGCTGAACCAACAACAAATGGTACGTCCTCTTTTGCTTAAAATTTTTAGGTCGTAGTTTTTCGGTTTGTAAAATACTGTACATTAAAAAAAGAAATTAAAAAAACTGCTGAATTACTGTTTTTTGCAAAAAAGCACTGAAAATTATTTGGTGTTTGTTTTTCCAAAAAAAAAAGATAGCATAATTGTTTTCATGAAAGGAACTATTCCCCGAAATGTTGACATTAATCATTTACATAATTGAGGTGATGGAAAAATGGATGTTGCAAACTATGTAGAATTTCTACATAATGTTCGAAATTTAAAAATTCGAGGCGCTCGAGGTTATGTTGGCACATCGAATATCATATGGAATTCGCTACCATTCGGTCTCAATCTCTGCAAAAATATTACAGCTCTTTGGGTAGGTTTTACACTATTAACAGTGGTTTTGGATGCAATATTTTTGATTAATTCTGAGGAATCAGTCAGTAGAATAAAGTAATTATGAGTAAGTCATTATTTGATTGACATACCACTATTTCAGATAAGCGACTTTGATGTGCGAATGATTCATGATTTACATTCGGTCCGTAGTACGTGTAAACGCGTCGTCATCCATTACTCTATGAAAAAACTTTCTGTTAGTTTTGTTTCTAAATTCCATTAATACCTGTCCATATTCGTTGGCAGATTGTGACTTTTCTCATCTCTATGTGAGGGAGAAATCATGGCTGCATTCATTGGTTTTTCTAAGGGAAGATCATATTTTTTTAAGGATTTTCTCCTAGAACCCGATGAGATGCTGCCAGTTGAAAATCAAGAGAAATGGTCGTCTCTGGAAGAAATTGATTTTTCATTCAACGAACTTGAAGAAATTGATGAAAGCATTGTAAGTTATATTGAATAAATGCAATTATGAATTTAAGCAAGAATAAATGAATTAGATTGAAATAAATGAATTAGTCGTACAAAAACTACTGGTGTAATTTTCTATTCTTGCTTGATCGGTGATTTTTGAACTCTCGCTTTGCATAAAGAATCACTTTATTCGAATTTCGGAATATGTTTTTAAGATTCCTTTTATACTATTCACATTTAAATAAATTGCAGAGTTTGCTGAATTTGGTATGGAAAATGAACTTATCACATAATCTTCTCACGAGTATTGGAGATCATTTACAACATCTTACGATGCTGACTGAACTTAATCTTTCACATAACGCTATTGAAGATTTGGATATGTGGTATACGAAGCTGGGTAATGTAAAACGCTTGTATCTTGCTGGCAACAAAATATCTACATTTAATGGTACCTTTGTTTATATCAGATCATCAGGAGAGTAGATTGTAGTCTTACTTGGTTTAATTTACGGCATTGTAAACTTGTACGAATAGGGTTATTTGCTTTTGCAGGACTGCATAAATTATATTCTTTGGAATTTCTGGATTTAACTGACAACGTTGTTGCTTCTCCTGACGATATTCGAATGGTTGGTACTCTTCCTTACTTAGATCATCTGATTTTGCGAGGCAATCCAATCCGCCAAGTTATCGAATACAGGATAAAAGTTTTGGAACACTTTGGAGAAAGAGTTGCTGAGGTTGTTTGTTTGTTTCGAACTTTCATTAGAAAATAAAAAATCTCGTTTTATGTATATTTCTGTAATTTTAGATTTTTGTCTTCACACGAATTGGTTTTTATATGAAAGTTTTGAAATTATATTAGGGACTTTGAATATCGAATGAAATATATGTGAAGATGATAGCTACCTGATCACTGAATAACTGGATAGTTCTCATGAAGCGATAGTAGTGACAAGTGCAGGTTATCCGTATTTTCCTGATATGTCATATTTCTCATGTGTTCCAGACACGCTCAATAATTAGTACATGTTACGCTTGGACTTCTACAATCCATCTAAATACCGTTTATATTTAATTGTTTAGAATATTTTAGGTAAAATTGGATAGCAGAAAGCCTGATCAACGTGAAATGGATACAATATCAGTTCGTTTAGCATTGCGAAAAGCGCGAGAAGAGAAAGAACAGACTCGAGAAAGGACATTAGGAATCGGTAAAAAAACGAAGTTAAATTTGAACATTTTTTTAACCCGTTAGGATTTCTGTAAACAATCTAACTCTCGGAACATTTTGCAATTTATTAAACCAAGCAAAAGTTGGAAACGGATTTTGCTATCATTTGCATGAAATCAGGTCTTTCAGTGAACTAATTCATGAAACAAAAGAAAATGTTTACTGCAAATCTTTATCCGGAGGAGATATGGACTCTCCAATTCGTTCGCTGTGAAAGATTGTCGGATTCAAACCAAGTTCTAAATATTGCGGTGCTTAAACATTGCTTACTTTGTATTATTTTGTGTACTTTATGTATAAGGTTAAAAGGATTTATTCTAAATGCTGTCTGTTTCATAGAAGTTATTTAATTTCCACTGAATTTTAATCATTTTGCCATGTCTTTCAAATGTCATGCAGGCGAATGATTTCTGTTGCCTTGTATTTGTGCAGAAATTTTATTTAATTTTTCATTTCTTTCTGAGAGTGATAAATAGATGCATCACTTTATCACCTTCCTTAACATACAGGTTCGGTGAAATTTTCTGTTACTGATATTCTTTTTATTTTCTTCATTTTTTACTTATGCTTTTCTATTTCCTATCTATGCACTTTGTGATTGTAATTTCAATCTTTTAATGGAACTGTAGAGAAGGCGTGGATAATCTTGGTATTTTGATTTTGTTGGATAAAGCAAGAAACAATGAGCTTCCCGAATTGCTGGGTAATTTTTTAACCGATTTATCTCCTGGAAGTTTTATTTCCTTTGTTTTAAAAATTGTTTTTGGTTTTCGCTGTATCGCTGTATTCAATTTGAATGTGATTCGGTAAATGTGCATATAGTTATAGTTTACGAACATTATCAAATTATCACAGCAATATCGTAATCAATCGTATAATTCGTCCGACGAGTATGCATACAAATTTGCCCAATTCAGACGAAAAGAATTGATTCGAATTTTCAGAAAAAGAGCATCTTCATATGAGATGGAATTATCTGTTCATTTCAAATAATAACATAAGCAGGCATATTGTTACATTATCCGATTCTGCATGATGATGGCCATAATTGGTGCTTATTGCATGGTGAACTTACAACCTTGATTGATGGAGAAAGAAATTGAAAAGTGGATATCAACCTAGAAGGGTTGATTTCATCTTTTGCTTTTGTCCTTGATTCAAATGTTCTAATCTTTACTATCAAAACTTCAACTCTTAGATGTTTGTCCGATATTCAAGAGGTATTGTTGGGATATTTTCTCAGTATTTGTGCAGTTGCCAATAAGGTTATCATCCTTCACAGTCGCTCTAACCTGATTGCTTCCAAATATCCACCCCTCAGATAATTCGATATTACACCAATTACTTCATTCATCACTGGCAACAATAATAATAATAATAATTATTATTATTACTGCACTGATTTGAACCAATGATATTTGAAAAAAATTGTCAAAGATTAAAAATTTTATTATGCTGAATAATACACTATATGAAATGAAGAATTGACTTCAATTTTATTTTTATTTTTTTGTTTAACTTTTAAAGCAATTATTTTTGGTAATGTTATTTTTGTTGATTGCATGAGTAGACGCAGACGTACAGTAATACTGCAACGAACTAGAATGTACGGTATTGCAATAACAAACTTACAATACGACAAAGAGTGAAAGTTTGTTATTTTCAAGTCGTACTAACAATTTATCATAGAATCGATAGTTGACACTATTAATGGATGCTACAGATGAGATATGGATAAAGGCTTAATTCTGGAAGTTGCTAGATGGCAAATTTGTTTAAGAAAAATTTAACCAGTAACATGTTACGGAGAATTGAATTCGATTCTACTATGATTTAGGGTTGATAATTATCATGATTATTCATCAACTTAACGTAAAGTATCTCATCTGATGATGAAGGAATTACACGTTGATTGCAATTATCTCCCTAAAGCGATCAAAAATATGACCATTAATTAAATCGTCTTATTTAAGTAATTCAACTGATAAGTTTTTCATGGTTTAAATTGCTTGATTCTCGTTCAATTTCATTATTCTGCTCAAAACTTCTAAGACATATGTTCTATATCTTTCTTTCTTGCTCGGTTTGTGCTATTTGCAAACGAAGGACGAATTGTCGAGATGGAGTTTTACAAAATTTTTATTGTATTCTAAAAACTCATAGAGAATTAAATGCTGGGAGTGATATGAGAATCATAATGGACATATTAAATAGATCTTCAGAAGAAATCAAAAATCAGATAGTATTTAGAGGAAATCAGGAATTGAATTGGGAATCGATTGAGATGGGAAGCATATTTGGTGGTTTCTATTTGATATATCTGGTAATTCTGGTGATTTATCTGGCAATTTTCATCATTCTGAGCATAAAATACTTCGATTTGGTACAGAATGCATGGTTTGTTTGATTTTGTATTTGAGAATGGATTTGCTCCCGTGAGAAAACATCACCTCGTCAATTATAAGGCGGTCTTCGTTAGTCAGCACCGTAACTGAGTAAATAAACCTTTACCTCTTCGTTAGTATGTCACATTGCGCCAACTTGTTATTGCAATTTGTTTCATATATGGCAATTTTTAAAATTTCTGTCATCTTAAAATTTAAAGTAATTTTTTTAAAGATATTTCATCAGACAAAAATAGTCTAATGTCGTAGTTGAAATTTGATCCCAATTAATTATCCGAGAGTTGAAGAATTTTTTTATTATTTGTTCATCCAATTACAGTTCTCAGCATGAAAACTATTTGTTCAAATTGAAATTTGATATGAAATCGTGTAAAGGTTCTTTTAGGTTAAAAATTATTTAATGCAAAATGAGGCAAAATCTTGTCCTGAGGATACATATTTGTATAAAGAAAAGGTATGTATACTTAAAGGATCGATCAGGTTAGCTCATGTTTATCCTGGTCAAGTTTTCAATATGCGACATTCCGTGATCCATATAATCCGCTATGCAAATTTTCTTCATCATCATAATTAACTTCTGGGACAATTCCGTTATATGTAAATAATTTAACTTAATTGGCAAAGATTTTTTTGTTTTGAGCAAAAAGAGATTAATTTCAATCAAAACTATAATTCGATAAAGAAAAAGAGGATAAGTTGAAATAATATCAAAATGATTAAATTCTTTTATGAAATAAATTAATTTAGGAATATTAATTAATATACCTATTGTAATAATTTAATTTCTTAACAATTATTAATAGAAATAATAGAAATCAATTTTTTTCAAATTTTACTAATTTTCATTAAATTATTTTTTATAAATAATTTTTGTGTTGAGAATAATTTATACTTCTTTCTTTCTTTCTTTCTTTCTTTTTCTTTATTTCGAATAATCCGTAAAAAGAAATGATGATCCCTACCTATGTTGACCTCATTTATGGAACAATTAAGCAGACAATATTTCTGCAAATCGTAGTTCTTTTTTTTTTGCTTTATTATATGTCGCTTAAGTCAGCTGTGATTAGCTGCCATATAACTTTACATTGAAAGAGGAAAAAGTAGAAAAAAGAGAGAGAGAGAGAGAAAGTGAGAAAAGAGGTTAATTGGATGATGAATGATGAAATCGGCACCTGTGAATCAAAAGATTAGGTAGAGATGAAAGAAAGTAATGAAAAACACGAAAGCTTGAAATTGATACCATTGATCAGTGCTGGAAACATTCATATCCTCCTTCTCAACTGGTCATTCAATCGGATAATATAAAAGTAGTATCATTTCAAACAAACTAATAATTGTTTAAAAATCACTCTAATGGAATATTTTAACGGCTTATCATTAGATTTTGGTAAAGAGAAGAAGAAGAAAAAGATGATAAAGAAGAGAAACCTTAAGAGTCCCGGATAAGGGTAAAACGCGCCTGTTCCTTACATATCCCGTATATCTATCCTAACCAGAACTTTATAATCAAGAATAAATCAGTAGTATGGATGTGTCTGTCTGTCTGTGTGTGCATGTGTCTGTCTGTCTGTCTATTAGAATTTATGTATGTGTGTGTGTGTGTGTGTATGTGTGTGTATGTGGTGTATATAATGTATATGTATGTATAGGTTTGTGCATGGGGAAGAGGTATGGATCAGTGTACTTGAAGAGTTGAAACCTCCTGACGCCATCAGTCAACACCGATCATTTCATCCCAATTCTGTCCATTACAAAATGCCACTCATTTAGCAATCATATTACATACGTCTGTTCATTACCATTCATTCTATTTTCTTTCTCTCTGATTTTTATCTTTTTCTTCTTTTCTTTCTCTCTATTTTTCATTTTTTTTTTAAAGTAATTAAAAAATTAATAATTAATTAAGAGAAATAAATAAAAATAAAATTTACCATCATAATTCTAATTTCTTTGTTTTTAAATTGTTAAAGAAAGAAAGAAAGACAGAAATTCAAATTTTTTTAATGAATTGATCAAATTAATTTCAATGATTGTAATTACAATCATCTCAATTTATCTTAATTTTTAATTAGAAAAAGAAAGAAATTATTTCATCTTAATCTTAATTATTCATCTTAATTTTTTAATTAATAGAAAGAGAAAGAAAAAAAAATTAAACTTTAATGAATGATTAAATTAACTTCATATTATATTACTACTGTATTTTTAATCCAACTAAAATATATTGCATTTTTGTATTATGGTATGTTGAAAAAAATGTTGAAAAAAAACGAAGTACGGAAAAGAAAATTATAAATGATCGAAAAGAATTATGCAATTAATAATTATGAAAAATTTATTAAAATCAAATATTTGTTTTACTTTTTTCTTCTCTTTTAATAATTTAAAATTTTCTAATTTTTTTTTTTAAACAAGAAATTATTTAAGAAAAAATAATTAGATAAGACTAACAGAAAAATTAAAAATTAAAATCATATAAATAATTTTAATAGATGATAATATTTATCATGTTAATTTTTACATTTTGATATGAATAACATTTGAAAATGATAAAATAAAATAATTTTAATAGTTGATACCGATCCTTTTTTTTACATAATTACATCAAAAATCAATAGT